AAAAGAGCAATACACCTTCCTTCCTTTTCACTTGGCTTTGTGTCCACTGGAAAAACGTAAACAGCAACTACTGTTTTCTGTGCAATCTGCTTGCTTTCTATGGCTCTGAAACACACAGTGGGCATGTGTATGGTGAGCGCCAGGTGTTTGGAAGTGATCGGTGAACTCCAACTGCTTACCTGTTCTGCTCCATGGACACAAGACTAATTATTGGGGTCCTAGTAGAGTCATTATTAAGACTTTGCATTTTAAGCCTGAGGCTGAGTTCACATTTGAAAAGTGGTCCTGTGCATTGTATTTCACAGGCAGATATGAAGTCGTGCTGTTACAAGAAGATGGGCTGTCAGGTTCATCTCTACACTTCCTGGACCCCACAGGGCCAAGAGGATGCTTGTTCTTTTCTTCTCTTTATTGACAGAATCCCCATAGAACAGAGTTGAACAGAATTTATATTGTTTCTGTTTGAATGGCAAGTAGGGAGGAGGACTGCATCCTTTGTTGTATAATCAAACATTTCTTCTTTCTCAAAAAAGAAAAGAGCCTTTTCCAGTTAAATCAAAATTTCATCTAGATATTATATTTGGTGAGAGAATAATTTAGTGGCAGATAAAAATGACTTGAGGGCTTGAGGTGTTTGTCTGAGGTCTCTTCTGCATTCTTTTTGAAATAAAAAGAATGATTAGAAGCTATAGTGCTAACTGGGATAGTTTATTATTTTTGTGTCGGTGGCTACAAATCAGACAGATTGATGTGATGTGTGTGTGTTTTCTTCTCACTCCCACCCCCTCCCAGGCTTTTGTAGATTTCTTCTCTCAGTGCATCCATGAGGAATATAAGAGCAAGGGCATCTTTGTGCAGGTGAGTAGAGTTTGTTTCAGTTAAGTGTTCCTGTTTTTGTGTGGTTTCCACAGCAACTGTTGCTGTCTTGGTAACGAAAGAAAATCACTTTCCTAAGTAAGTGAATGTGATGTTAGCACACAATTAAAGACATGTGTTGTTGTTTTTTTTTTTCTTTATGTACTTCAAGTCTAGATTTAAAAAAATTATTCCTTAGAATTTTTAAGTCAGGATGCCTGGAGTAGAACTACATGTAGTGTAAACAGTTGAAGCATAATTATTGTAAGTTCTTAAGATTTTATTTAGAGAGAATTAGACTATTAATATCTCTTAGCTGCCAGGTATATAAGGTGTGCCGTGACTGTTCCAATGCTACTGTGTAATAACCACAGAGAGGGTCAAGAACTGAACAGAATTGACTTTTACTAGAGCAAGGATGACAGCAAACACCAGGGTGATGTAGATACAGTAGTGATTTTTTTAAATATATATTTTACTGATTTTTAGAGAGGAAGGGAGAGGGAGAGAGAGATAGAAACATCAATGATGAGAATCATTGATTGGCTGCCTCCTGCACGCCCCCTACTGGGGATCGAGCCTGCAACCCAGGCATGTGCCCTTGGCTGGAATCGAACCTGGGACCCTTCAGTCCACAGACCGACAAGCTCTATCCATTGAGCCAAACCAGCTAGGGCAGTAGTGATTTTTAACAGTTTAAAAATTAAGGTAAAATATACGTAACAAAAAACAACATTCACCAATTTTTAAGTATTTAGTTTAGTGGCATTAAATACATTTGCATCATTGGGTAAGCATCACCACCATCCATCTCCAGAATTTTTTTCATCTTCCCAAACTGAAACTGTACCCATTTAACATGTACTCCCCGTTCCCTCCTCCCCCCAGCCCTTGCCAGGCACCATTCTACTTTTTGTCTTTCTGAATTTGACTATGCTACGTACTTCATATGAGTAGAATCATACAGTATTTGTCCTTTTGGGACTGGCTTTTTTCACTTAGCATAGTGTCTTCCAGGTTCATCCGTGTTGCAGCAGGTATCAGAATTTCTTTTTAAAGCTGGATAATATTCCATTGTATGGATGTACCACATCATGTTTATCTATTCAGCTGACTTTATTTTTATTTTTCCCTAATAATGAATGATGAATTATGTAATTTTGTCTCCTGTGCTGCTCAGCCTTCCTCCTGCCACTGCTTCACACACACCTGATATATGGACCATACTGAACTACTTACGATTCTCTGAGGACATTGCACTTTCCTGTGCCCTTGCTGTTCCCAGGACCCAAAATGTTCTTCCCTGTTTGTTTACCTGGCAAACTCTTCCACTTCGTTTAAGACTCAGCTCAAAAGTTATTTCATCTCTGACTCCCTCCTTCCTCTACCAGGCCATGTTAAGCGCCTTGATTTGAAACCATTGTGGAGATAAATGAATGCCCTTTCCAGAATAGAATGTACACTTCTTAGCTGGGAAAATGTGACTTGGAATTTCTGGGCATGCCTCTGTCTCCTCTTCTCCACCTCCAGATGGGTTAGCTGAGTGAGGAGTTAACTTGTGGCGCCATCAAGTGGTTTGGCCAGGCAGTGTGACTTAATTCTGATCTAAATAGTCCAATTTATGCAGATACAGATATGTAAAGGGGGTGGGGTTGTTATAATATAACTAAGTAATTGGGAAATACGAGATCATCTTTGTCTTGAGAAGCTGAACACTTTAGAAGCTTGTGGTCTATATATGCAAACAGTTTTTTAATCCTCACTCTTTTTGTAACCAGGAAGCCTGAGGCATAGCACTGTGAATGGTTTGCTTACGTTCTCCTACTTATTAATAGCAAAGTTTATAGATCTCAGAAGCAGTTGTACACCTGAAATTTATATAATGTTGTTAATCAGTGTTATCCTAATAAATTAAAACTCAGAAGCAAAATGGTAAGAAACTAAGGAAGAAAAGTGGTGGTAGCCAAAGGCTGAGAACGAGAAATGATTATTGTAGAGGGACCAAAGCTGATAGGACAAGCTCAATTGACCAAAAATTATAGGGAAAAGTGTTATCTCTTTATAAGGGTAAAATGTCAAAAATCTCTTCCTTGGTGGTTCTGTAAATGTTTAGTCGGAGCAGAATCTCTGCTCTTTAGGCTTCTGTGATGCCTTATTTTAAAGGTTCAAAAAGGTACACTTCTGCTGTTTTTAAGACTTTCTTGTCTCAAATTCTGCTTCATTGAGAGATTGACTTATTCGTTTGCTTTGTGCTGCCGTGTGTCTGTCAAGCTGGCTTTAGAGAGAGGCTTCTCTTTTTCTCTCTCTAATGGTGCAAACTTTATATTTCATCAGAATGTTTCTGTCACAGAGCAGTCAAGCATCATTGTGAATTCGGAGTTTGTGGCCTTCCTAATCAATGGCATGTTTTTTTCTGGGGGGTGTTGCCTTTCTAGAGTGTCCTGCCCTTCTTTGTAGCTACGAAACTGGCTAAAATCCGGAAACCATCTTTGACTGTACCCTCTTCAGAGGCATATGTGAAGTCGGCGTTGAAAACAGTGGGGTTGAAAACCCGAACCAATGGATACCCGATCCATTCTCTTATGGTAGGTAGATTTCTAAGTCCCAAATCAGCACTTAGGTGGTTTTTTTTCCCCTCCATTGAGCCACAAAATAATGTGCTAAATTAACATATATATATTGGCTAGACTTACTAATGAGTCATCCGTGTTTTATTTTAAAACCCAAGAACTCTAAAATCTACCTATAAGTTAAAAAAAATTATAGTAAAACATAAGATCACGTGTTTTAATTTAGCTCAAACTGTAGGCTGTAATTACATATCTCCCCATTTCTTTTCCTAGGGTACAATTGTCTGCATGCTGCCTCCTTCGTTAAATTTGAAGCTGGCCATGCATATGGGCAAGTCCACTCGGGCTCGCTATCTGAAGAAAGCCAAGAAGAACTAAGCGTTGATAACTGCTCTGCGTAGCTCGGCCAGATGCTCCAGCCTCCACACGCTCCCCGCGGGCCACCCACCCAGCTCCCAAATCTTCAGGCGTTTTAATAGTTACTAATAAGGCTGAATGTGGCCATAATCAGGAAGGAAGCAGGAACTCCTGACATGTATTCTGGATGCTACCAGCAGCAGTTATTGTGTAGTTTAATATAAATGCTCATATCAATTGGATGTAGAACTAATATTAACAAGAACAACTTAATGGGAAGGAGCACAAGTTCAGCAAATCACAGAAGGATAGAGTCGGGCATAAGGCCCAGCAGTTTCATCTGGCCCAAAGTGTCAATGACGACTCTTGTATCTTCTCTGAAACATACTTTAAAAAGTCATGGCCAGCTACTCATTCTTGTTTTTAATAGTTTGAGGGACTGGAGATGAATGGATTTACACGGGGAGGACACACTGCAGCTTGCATAGTTCTTTGTAAGCTTTTCTAAAGGCCTGTCCCTGTTTGTATGTTATATGGAACTATCTTTTTCCAAGCAGCTAATGACAAAAATAATTTGGAGGTTTTTTTACACGTGAAGCCTATAAAAATATGCTTTCCTCTAATATTTCTTCTCAGTTTAAATGTATGTAGCTACTTTAAGGTGTATGGTATGATTTACAAAGGTAAATGGGCCAAAATGTACACTGAGCCAGCCAGCCACCTGTGGTGCCACTAAAACCCTGCCCAGGAAAGTGGCCTGGTGGACCCGAGGCCTGGTTTCTGTGCTTCAATAATACTGCTTACATATGTGACAGAGGCTATTCCTAGAACAGCAGTGACATCAGAGAAGTGACCTTGCACTTTGAGATTAGTACCCTATAGATACTGATATAACTAGTCTTAATGAAAGGTGATAGAACTGTGGTGTTGATTAAAAATATATTTCTTTAGTGCTTGAAATTAAGGCCATTGTTACACTGGCTTAATATAAATTAAGGCTTACTTTTATCCTGCTATATAACTTGTTTGGGGAAATTGCTAAGCAATAATTCAATGTTGTGAGACATGTCATCTAAAAAGGTAGACCTTCTCCTAGGCTGTGATTCCAAGGCTGAGTTTTAAGCACCAATAAATTAGCACAAAAATTTTTAATTGGGGTATTTAAGTGTTTCTAGATTTTAATTTTATCAGCTAAGGATATAAAAACAGAAAACCAAATTACCATCGTTATATAAAAGACATTTAATAGCATACAAAAAGTGGAAAGAACATCATCTCAGAATAAGGAATACTCATTTAAATGGAATAAAGGCAGCTTTTTTGAAAAACATTGTCTTTTTCTTTCATTTTGTTGACACCACAATGACCTGGGCAATATTTCATTTGCCTTCACACGCTGGTTGGTTGGTTGATGGTTATCATGTAGTTATTGCTGGAAAGTTGGCAGAGAGGGGAGGGATTGGCTTACAGGTATACAAAATATTTTTCCTTTTACCCCAGTTGGAAAATGGTTATATTCTGACTAGGAAATCCCTTAGCAATCTCAAAACTTCTGAGCTACGGCTTTGATTTCTTCAACTTAGCGAAATTCCTCGTGTATTTGACACTCAAGGTTGAAGAGGATGAAATGAAAATCTATGTTTCCAGACACATGAAAAGAAAAATTGTACTAAAAGAGAAACATATTCTTAAAACCTTCAACATGGTAAAGCATAAATTTGAGACTTATTCTCTATTGACTTGATTGTCTGATATGTGCTGGGTAAGCTTTGAACCCAAAATGCACAGAGTAGGAGACAGTATTGGTTATTTATGTAGAGTAAGCTCTCCTTACAACATAGGAAGCAAATTTCAATTTATTGTTTTCTCGTTGCCCTTTCAGTGGAATAGCATGGGGGGAATTATCCTGCACACATAATGGTATGTGCTGTTCTGACCTGTCCTTGTGTCAGTCCCACGTACACTGGGAATAAATAAGTAAATGCTACGGGTGATATTATTAGTCTCCTTTTCCTCAAATGCGGTCCTGCCCTAAAGAGATGAATTCTGATTTTTCATTTAATATTTATTGCATTGAAATAGAACTGAACTTTATACAGAGTGAACATTAATTCCGATACCAATACATATGGTGCTGATTCAATGTGGAGGAAAAGATTTATTGTGATAATACCTGGTGAGAATGAAATGAGCTTAAGTAGTACTATAATTCCCTCAGTCTGTTGACATAAAAAATTACCCGAGATTTAGGTGATCCTGGATTCTGCTACTTTGCTCTGTAGTTTTCCAGGGTCAAAACAAAGTATTGGAGCTTTATTATTGAATATGTTGGAAACTAAATTTTAAGGACTCACAACTTTGTGACATTCTAATATTTCTAGATTGGCATGTTTATGTCACCCATGCTGCAAAGCACATACATATAGACAGACTTTAAATTCCCTGTGGAAATGTAGATGTTCTTTCTACTGAGATGTGGATGAAGACATCTAGAAGTGGGACACGTGTCTAACATGAACACATATTACAGTGTTGTCTACTCTCCTTGTATGCGTGTCATTGAAAAATAAGCAACCTGGGTCCTACCAAAGGTGATCCTGAAAGGATATAAGCAAGCTTGTCTTCCTTGTTACAAAAGCTTCCGGGCAGGCGTACCACTGTGTGTGTTGATGGGAGTGTCAGTCACGTGCCATGGACTCTTCTGGATGCCGGAGAAACTGCAGCAAGCACAGCAGACAAACCTTCTTGCCCGGATACTGCTTACATTTGAGCTGGGAGAAGGAGAGGGAGCAAAGGAGGGAAACAGAGGATAAGCAGAAAGAATAATATTAATGTAGCCTGAGTGCCACATGAAGCGGGGCTAGGAGGATGGGGAACCGGTGTGTGTTGGGGTGAGAGGCTTGTGATTATAAGGTACTCGGAGCAGGTTTCAGTGAGGGGTGGCCTTTGAACAGTCTTGAGCAAGCCATTCAGTGACCCGAGGGAAGGGCATTTCAGGAAGGAGAGCATGCCTGGTATGTTCCAAGAAGGGCTAGGAGTATGTACATATTGAAGTATATATTAGGTGATGTGTCTCCTGGAGATTTCAGAGATCTTGCTTTAGTTTAATTATGACTTTCCAGAATTAAATCACCTTTCCATTCTTGGTCATGTTTCACCATCTTTGCACACTGTGGGATGCAGTTTGTTGGTATTTCATTTGGAATTTTTGCATTTATATTTTGGAAATTGTGTTTTTATATGAAGATTATAACTTCATTAAATGAGCTGGGAAGTGTTGCCTACTTTACTATTCTCTGGAAGATTCTGTAAAAGAGCGGAACAATCTTTTCCTTGAAAGTAAATAAGAACCATCTGGCCCTACTATTTATTCATGAGAAAATTTTAAATTACTGATTGTCTTAATGATAATAAGAATACTCAGGGTTTCTATTTTTTCAGTCAATTTAGAAAACAAAAGTTTTTTCTAAGCATTTAGTTATTTCTTTCCAAATTTATTAGCATAAAGTAACTCAAGAACTATTCTTGTTTTTAAGCCTCTGCTGGATATGTACTTATATTTCCTTTTCTAATATTATTTGTGCTCCTCACTTTCTTTTCCTTGCCATTTTGTCAGAAGTTTGTCTATTGTTGTTTTTTAAATATACATATTGATTTCAGAGAGGAAGGGAGAGGGAAAGATAGAAACATCAATGATGAGAGAGAATCATCTATTGGCTGCCTCCTACACGTCCCCTACTGGGGATCAAGCCCACAACCTGTGCATGTGCCCTGACTGGGAATTTAACCAAAACCAAACCATGATCTCCTGGTTCATAGGTCTACACTCAAACACTGAACCACACTGGCTGGGCTACTTATTAATGTTTTGTGTTTTTTTTTTAAAGAACCAACTTTTGGCTTTGTTGATCCCCTCTGCTCTTTTCTTTTTATGTCCTGCTTTCTGTTATTTTTCTTATTCATAATTTGGGCATGTAATTCATTCATGCTCAATTTTTTCCCCTATTTTTACATTAATGTCTACGGCTCTAAATTTATTTGATGATCTTTTGCTATATCCCACAATTGTGTGTGTGCACACAAAAAAGCACATACACACATTCTTTTTCAGGGCTAATATTTAAAAATTTACATTATGATTTCCTTGAACTATGAATTATTTAGAAACGGTTTTTAGCAGCACAAAATTAAGTTTTTAAAAGCACGAATTTAAATTTTACAAATGTATTTTAAACAAAATTTGTATTGGTGTTTCCATTAATAAGAATTTCACACTATGTGCATTCTGATGCGATGGACTGAAGATACATCATTTATGTGGTATTCCTGCCACAATATATAACCTGAACCTAACCAAGACGAAATGTCAGAAAAAACTAAATTGAGGGATATTTCACAGAATAACCAGCCTATACTTATCAAACATTTCAGATTAAAGAAAACTAAAGAAATCTGAAAAGTAAATGTAATGCATGATCTTGGGTTGGGATCCTGGTTGAGAAAAAAAGTTTTTGTTGTTTTTTTTATTACTCCCTATTTTTAGAAATTTTATGAGACTTACTTTATGGCCAGGTATAGACAAAATTCTAAGTGTACCATACGTGCTTAGAAAATATTTCTGTTAGAGGCCCAGTGCACAAAATTCCTGAAATGGGGGGGGGAGTTTCCCCTCAGCCCAGCCTGCGCCCTCTCGCAGTCCGGGACCCGAGGGATGTCCACCTGCCGGCTTTAGGCCCAATCCCCCCAGCCTAATTTCCTGATTTCTATGTTTTTGTGGCCTAGGATTTTGTTTTTAAACCCCATAAATTCCCTGTTTTCATTATTTTATACTATCATGCTTTTTTAAAATAAATTATACATTTATCAATTTGTTTACGTACCTCTCTTGCATGTCAGATCTTCCTTCTGATGCATGTCGCAGTTTAATTGAAACCGTTACTTTTTCTCTGTTGGTGCTATATTGAATGAGTAAAGGTGTGATTTAGAACTGATGGCATCTAACGGTTAATGAAATACCTCCTCAGTCACTGACTTCTGGCTTCCGTTGTTGGTGTTCAGAAGTCAGTGTCAGTACAGCATTCTTTTATAGGTAGACATAACTCTGGCCACATTTAAGATATCTTTGGCTTTGTGTTCCTTAGTATCATGACAGTGTATTTAAGTGTAGAATTTAAAAAATGTATCCTACTTGGTTTATACTATGCTTTCTGTGCGTAAGAATACATGTCTTTGGTCTTTTCTGAAAAATTCTCATTGCCTTCGAGTCTCTAGTTATAAATGTCCTATCTTCATTCTGTCTCATAACCTTTCTCACATTTTCCACCTCTCGTTTCCCAAGCTGCATATTGTGCAATTTGTTTCTAGTTCCTTAATTCTCTCTTCATATATTTTTATCTTCTGTTAAAGCAAGTCACTGCTGTTTTCATTTTTACATGTTTTAGTCCAGCGGTCGCCAACTGGTGGTCTGTGGACCACTGGTGGTCTGTGAGGTCCGAAAGGTTGGCGATGCTGTTTTAGTTGGGTTCTTGTTTAAATCTGCCTGGTCATTCTTGATAGTTTCATAATGGTTGCTCATTTTTCAAATTCAGTTTTAAAATTTTATGGAGGTATTGCACACATGGGCATTTTATATTCCATATCTGGTGATTCTCATAATCTGAAATTCTTAGGAGTCTAAATCTATTGGTTGTATTTCTCCAGACTCTCATTCAAAGTGGTTTATTTTCTTTTGTGTTGGTATTTTTAAAAAAATATATTTTATTGATTTTTTACAGAGAGGAGGGGAGAGGGATAGAGAGTTAGAAACATCGATGAGAGAGAAACATCGATCAGCTGCCCCCCACACACTCCCCACTGAGGATGTGCCTGCAACCAAGGTACATGCCCTTGACTGGAATCGAACCTGGGATCCTTCAGTCCGCAGGCCGATGCTCTATCCACTGAGCCAAACCGGTCAGGGCATTGTGTTGGTATTTTTATTTTGAAATTCTATTTGATTGATTTTAATCTGGAGAGAGTCCTGAGGGCTAAATTGGGATGTTCCTCTTCAGAGATAAATTTTTTGCTTCTGTCTGTTGGCAGCCTGGGAACTTTACCAACCCGACAACCCTCTCACTCCACTGGAGGTACCTGACTCCATGCAGGAGTCCCAGGCTCAGTTCTCACACCTTGTAATGATTCCGAGTCACTCTCCTGCTCCAAATGCTGGTCCTGTGTTTCCCCCAAGGAGCAACCACTGATTTCTTATTTTCTTACTGCTAACTGCTTCTAGCTCTGATTTCATTTTCTTACACTTTTTTCACCCCTTTGGTTTGGTTTATTGTTTTGCTCTTGGAGATATTATTTTTTATAACTCTAGCCTTGCATTAAATTTTATAGAGTAGTTACAGATTCATTTTGTGGGAGTTTGGGTACTTGTTTTACATTTCTTCTAGGTAGGAATTCAGTATCATGTAAGCTAATCGATATATGATAGAACAAAGGGAAAATTTTTAATTTCTGCAGAGAGCAGAGGAGCCATACACACAACTTCAAGCTAGCATTCACAGGGACTTTGTGGCCACTCTTTATGTTTGTTCTAGTTTAGCCAGAATTGAGTTGTATTATTCAGCCGTACTGCCAGGAGCCTCTATTAAGTTTTCCATCTTTTTTTCTCTCTGTGTTTGGATATTTTCTATTAATTGTCTTTCTTAATAGATTGTATATTTAACTTCTGTTTTAGATTTACAGGAAAATTGAGCAGAAAGTACAGAGAATTCCCATATTCCATTCTGTATTATACTGCTACCAACCCTTCACTTTTGAAGTCATTGAAAAACAAAAACAAAAAACAAACACCAGCTATGTGGTCCCAGGAGATGGCTCCATATATCATTCCAGGAATAGTCCTGTCTTTCCTAATGAGCTCTCACTCTGCCATGTATTTGCATTTGCAGTGGGATGATGGCATCAGGGTTCAGTTTATCCTTTTGTAAACGGGGGCTAATATTTATACACCTACATCATAAGGTCGTTCTGAAAATCAGATCAGCATGTAAGTAATTAGCATAGCATTTGGCAAGCAAGACACTCTCAATAAATGTTAAGTGTTTTATTTGCCATTTTTTTATCATTAAGAATGAGTCGATAAAATGTTGCCTGCTCGTTTTCAGGGGTAATGTAACCATCAGAATACCTTGGGGCCTTCTGAATGCCAAATACTTTAGAGCCTTGGCATAGCTCTCTGTTCGCCATAAAGCCTTCGTTGATGACTGTAACCTCTAGTGATCTCTCCCGTCCCAGATTTTTGTCTGCTCTCCACAATTCCACACCCAAGTAGGCTGTTCTTTAATTGAGCCTCACATGGTTTACACTGCGGTTTCTGGAAGACTTTATCTCTGGCAGCGTCTGCAGTCGTGCTGGGCAGGGAGCAGGAGGAGTTCCTGAGTGGAGTCTGGGAAGCATCCTCTCTGTGCGTTGTTTAAAGTCGGCCAAGACTTGAAAGGCTCCACACAAACACGCTGCGGAGTTGGCAGGTTCCTGTCCCACCCTCCCTCCTCAAGCTGGGAACCGCTGAGCCTTGGGCCGTGAGACACGGGCTGGGAACTTCCCTCTGCAACACCTTCACAGAGAGCTATTAGCTTGACGTGCCATTATTTTCCTGGGATTGGGTTTTCTCAGGAATTCAGCAGCAGGCGCTCCACAAGTGGCACATGATTCAAACAGGGAACACTGGGCAAGAGTCTGCTGTGAAAATAGGCAACTGAAAGTAGGCTGCAGTGTGTGACTCGCCCAGAGTCACTTCTAAGAGCTACCGACACGTAAAATATTGATCAGTTTTGCCATCCGGGGGATGAGATAACTGCGGAGTGGAAAAGGGATCACCTGGAGAAGGCAGGCAGCCGGAAAAGGCAGAACTCTTGAAGGTTCTTCCAAGTTGAAACCAGGCACTGTTAAAAATGCCAAAAGCAGGGTTCTGCCCCACACGTGCTGACGCAGAATCTTGATGGGGCCTAAAATCTTCCGTTTTTATAGGCATTCCCCCCAGTGACTCTGCAGATGGTCTTCCCACCATGTGCTGAGAAACACGGGTTTCAGAGGAGAGGAACGGCAACTGGGCCAGCAAAACCTACTGGGACTTCAGGAGGGAGGTCTCAGCTAAGGAACCCGAGAGTGGCGCTAGAGCAAAGGGCCCAAATCAGAGGCAAACCAGTTACTTGCAGTTTAAGGCCAACCCGGGGGCAGTCGCTTGCTAGCCCTGATGTCATGATCATACTGAAAGTCAGGACTCAAATAGACAGAAACTATATAGTAACTCAAACAGGAATAAAATAAAGAATTATTTACCATCATAAGAAATTACCTACAGGGGAAAAGGGAAACTCCAAAAATACCGACATACTAGATAGAGCAGCCACTTAAAAGTACCTCTAGGTGGGTCTACCTCTAGGTCAAGGCAGAATACAAGGGAACGCACAAAGCCGGAAGCACCCTCACCTGCCAGGAAGCACAGACCAAGGCTGTATTTTTCAAGTCATCTGCTCCAGGTGAGGGTTGCACAGGGTTTCCAAGTGTCCTCAGATAAAGAAGGGCAAGCTACTTCCACCACCAAGGGAGGCTCAGGGTGACTTGGATGTTCAAGGTCGTCACTTTCATCCGGGCCCAAGCATAAGTGCCTGCTTCAAGTTTTGGGATCCCATTCCTTCCCAGTCAATGCCTTAACCTCACAAGAGAAACTTAACAAGGCTCTAAATTCAACTAACACTGAGATTCAGCCCACAGAGAGCTGCCAAACACGGCTAGCCACCAGGCATTGCAAAGCCAGCTGAGACCGCACACTGGAATCAGGAAGAGCCCTTTCCTCCTCTATGTCCCTCCAGCGCCCTCTACTGATGAAACTGAACACCCGGCCGGACGGAGAAGGAGACCTGTTCCAGGACTGCGAGCAGGTCAGTGAAGGATGGGTTTGGACTGGAGAATCAGTAAGAATTGGCAACGCACCTCACTTTCATCCCTTCTCCATGGCCACCCCTAACTGAAACAAATCCTGCAAATAGAAATGAGGCAACCCAGGATGCCAGGCTGCATCAAGAGCATCTTTCTAATAGTACATACTCACATGGATCTAGGATGATCACCACTTTGCCCAGGACTGCCCTGGCTTTAGCACTTATAAAGCCCTGCATCCTGGAAAAACCCCCAGTCCCAGATAAACTAGAACAATTGGTCACCCTACATGTGTCCAAAAGGTTTCCAAATGTTCTGTGTATCAGAATCACCTTGGGCACTTGGTAAAAATACAAGCGAGTCTGTTAAAGATGCAGTTATTGTAGATGCAAGCGGGCTATGCATTAATTTTTGAGAAGTGTTCTACTCGGAGAGCACTACTTCTAGGGACTCCTCAATCCAGACTTCTTTGTTTCTGTTCCAAAACTATTAACCATCAAAAAAGAAAGAAATGACATCCTTTGGAAGATACAGCCAAGGTTCCTGAGCCAGAAGCAGACACTGACAAATTACTAGTTGATGGGGGTGTGGTCTAAACATTTCCTCTCCTTTCAGCTCCAGGCTAAATTGTTTCTCCGTCAGTGTTACAAGTTATAACAAATAGTGGATGCTGTGAAAATCAGATACATTGATAGGGTATACTGAACTTCCTGCAGGTAAGCAGTATGAGGCTTATTCTAAAGACTTACAGTGACTCCGCTTCGGTAGATCTTAAAGAATCACTTGCCCTGGCCGGTGTGGCTCCGTTGGCTGGAGCGTCCTCCCGTGAACCCAAAGGCTATTGGTTGATTCCCAGTCAGGGCACACGCCTAGGTTTCCGGTTCCATCCCTGGTCTGGACGCACAGGAGGTGGTGCGAGAATCATTCACTGATCGGCTGCCTCCTGCACGCCCCCCACTGGAGATGGAGCCCGCAACCCCGGCATGTTCCCTAACCGGAAACCAACCTGGTTCACAGATCGATGCTCAAGCACCGAGCAAGGCGGGCTGGGCAAAATTCAAATCCTTTTGCTTGGCACCTGTCCCCCAACTCCCTCGCCTTCCCTCTAGCTGGGCGGGAAAAGGGGCTTGGACGCCTCCAATAGGCGGAGCTGGGGGGGTGGTCTCCAGAGGGGCCTTGGCCTCGGAAACACGTCCTCATTCCCACCTTCGCCACATCCGGGCACCTCGCGGGGATCCCGCTAACCCTCCAACCCCGTGTTCCCCTCCAACCCGGCCCTCCCTTCGGCACCATCAGATACGCGGCCCTCCCGGAGCCAGGAACGCGGAGCAGCCCGGACGCCAGGTGCTGGCGCCGGAAGCGGCGGCGGCGCTAGTGCCTGACGCCACGGCCTGTGATTGGGAGTTGCTGGGGTCGGTGCTGCACTCTTAAGGTTCCCCGGGCGGCCGGCGGCGAAGCAGGTCCAGACTGAGCGTTGTTTCCAGCGCGGAGCGCGCCCGGCTCCGCCGGCAGGTGCAGCCTGTGGGTTCACCGGTGGGCGCCCGGGCCGGTGGGGCGGGGACCGCCTCTGAGGCCCTTTCCCCGGCGGCCTCCGGGACGTCGCCGAGCCTCCTGGAAGAGAAGGGTCTATCAGACAAAGTTGCTAACCCTTGTTGAGGGCCGGGCGTTCACCCGCGAAGACGTTTAATCTGCATCTCAGTCGTGAGGGAGAGATTGGCGTCCTGTTCACAGAGGAGGAAACAGGCCCCCAAAGGTGAAATCATTTGCACCAGATTGGGCAGCTGCGAAGCGGCAACTCTGGATTCAGAGCGAGTCCTGGCCGACGCCGCAGCTCTTCGCCCCGCTGCGGGGTTCGCCGGCTTGACCTGGGGTGGGAGTCCCGGGGTGGGCGTGGGGGGCGGGGGTGTGAGGTAACAGTTTCTGCAGCGTCATAAGTTCGCCAGGTCTGCGAGGGGCCCCGGAATCTGTATTTTCAACATCGGTTCCCTGACACGTAATAACATATTGCTGCCCCGAGAACCGAGCAAGAACTGTAGCTAATTGTCGTGTTAAGCTTTTAAGGCTTCAATTGAGGGAAAATGTCAAACGAGGGCTTCCTCTACACGTCTTGTGGGACTGGAGAGTTGGTATTTTGGGGCAGATGACAGCCTCTATCATCTCCCCACGTATTAAATGAGAAGAATTACATATTTGTTACCTGGGGAGTTTGTTAAACATTCGGATTTCTGGGCGCCCAGCCCAGCTGTCCTGAATCAGAAGGTGTGTGTGTTGGGGGCGGGGGTCCTGGTAATCCGTAGGCTAAACAGGCTATGAAATGAGCTTGTTACCTTCGAGAACCTGCGGTGAGAAGTTTTTTAGATAGGCTCATAAAGAAATGGATCATAGTTTCAAAACACGCGGAAGCCTCCCTGGTGTTGGTAGGTCTGCATGCTCCTGTATGTGCTGTGAACTAAAACTTTATTGGTGAAAATGTCAAAGTAATATGACATTACTGGCCATTATGAGGTGGAGTCTTCAATTAGCTGGAGACTGGAACAATAAAATTTGAATAGTAATACATCTGCTATTGGCTTCTTGAGTGACATTAGTGAGGCACTTAACCTTGTGGTCCTCTTACTTGTCTCCCACAAGGCTTATTACTTGTATCCATCCTGCATCCAATCTTCTAACAGGTCACTGGTTTGTGTGTTTTTTAATGTGTTTTTTTTTTTTTTAAGAGAGACAGGAAGGGAGAAAGAGAAAGGGAAACATCGATGTGAGAGAGAAACATCAATCAGTTGCCACCCATATGTGCCCTGACTGGGGATTGAACTTGCAACCTAGGTATGTGCCCGACTGAGGGGATGACGCTCCACCACCTGAGACATCTGGCCAGGGCAAGGCCGGTTGAATGTTTGTAACGAGCTTCGAGGGAAGTTTGATGCAACCAGTGTTATAGGATATGGAAATGTGTTCGGAAACTGAGTCTTAGCCCATTTCTCAGTTTCCAGGTCGGTGGAGTATTAGTTTCCTTAACTTCTGCTCTGGGGACTCATAAGAGTAATGTCGTTTATAATCCTAGTTTTAGGATTTCTTAATGTGCACTTGTGAATGAAGTGAAGGTACTATAATAAGATTGCAAAAGGTAAACCTTAACAGCAGCAGCCCTAAGTGATTTAGTAGGCTCTTTGATTGAGATGTTGTGATGCCAGAAGTTGGTTTTATATAGAAGCTCTGATTGCTGTTGAGCAATCTCTTCTGCCTGAAAGGATTATAGTTACCCTTTAGTAGTATAAGTTCTCACAACCCCTTTTAAAAGCATGTGTGTTTTTTTTTTAAACAGGTAATCATTGTGCGGTTCATCAGCAATGAAATCTTCTGAAAGCTAAGAGCAGAAGCCTTTTTGGTCAACATGGAGGACAAAAGACGGCGAGCCCGCGTGCAGGGAGCCTGGGCCGGCTCAGCTAAGAGCCAGGCCGTTGCTCAGCCAGGCAAGAACCAGTGGGGACCCTTGCGTGTGAACGTGGACAGCTGTCATCCTCTTTTCTTTATATCCCTCTGGTTTATAATGGACTCCCATTTCGATGTTAAAGAATTATTTAAAATGTAGCTGGTATTTTCTCTGAATTTGTTGACGGTGAGCTAAGGGTTGATCTTTAGTGTTTCTCCCATTTAGTCACTACACTCAGACCTTTCAGTGCGTGTGTTGAGGTCTTCAGTAGATGTTACTAATTAATTTGTAGATGTCACGGAGGTCACCTCTAAGTGGATTTCATTGGTCCTTGCTCAGTAGGAGGTGATGAGAGCAGACTTTTCTCTCTCTTGCTTCAGCTACCACTGCTAAGAGCCATCTCCGCCAGAGCCCTGGTCAGACCTGGACGAACAAGGAGCATCATTTGTCAGACAAACAATTTGTATTTAAAGAACCCCAGCAGGTAAATTCTTGTTTCTCCTTCAACAGTAACAGATTGTTTATAAGTTATATTCATGTGATAGACACTCAAATAAGTAGTGACTGAATAAATTCACTAATAAAAGGAAAGTTAAAGGACTATAATAATAATGAAATGGAGAATATCAATTTCTTAGTATGTCTGAGAATTCTTTGTCGTCTTCCCCCAAATTATGGGCATGTATAAGTCCCCCCCCTTTTTTTTTTTTGGCACATAGGCTATTCATGATTAGAGATTAGAGGTTGCAGCATGGCTAGAGCTTTCATTGCTGTCTTCGGTGCTCATGCAGCAAATGTCTCTGGAATTGGATTGAAATTTCAGCAACTACAATGCTTGATAGCTTTTTTTCCATAGGGAAAAATGTAAGAAACAGTGAAGATTCACTGTTTTTAATAATAAGGGACAAAGCTAAATATCAGGCATCATGCTATAGCAGTGATTTTCAACCTTTTTTATCTGATGGCACATGTAAACTAATTACTAATTACTAAAATTCTTTAGCACACCAAAACGTATAACTTTTGTCGATCTGACATTTAAAAAGATATAATTTTGATTGGTTTACCAAAAAGAAAGTTTTTATCTATTTTTCTCCAGTGTGACTTTTTTTTTTAAATATATTTTATTGATTTCTTACAGAGAGGAAGGGAGAGAGACAGAGAGTTAGAAACATCGATGAGAGAGAAACATCAATCAGCTGCCTCCTGCACATCTCCTACCGGGGATGTGCCCACAACCAAGGCACATGCCCCCGACCGGAATCGTACCCGGGACCTTTCAGTCCGCAGGCCGATGCTCTATCCACTGAGCCAAACCGGTTTAGGCCAGTGTGACTTTTTAAAGAATCAGGTGCCTATAGTTGTATATAAGGAGTTCTGGTACCAAGAATTAACCAATCAGACCCAACCTGATTATGTGACATAACCAATAAGATGCAACCCTATTATATGACCTATATATTTATGGTTCAGACAGGGCATTCACACTGGATAGCTGTTGTTGTGTTGGCTGTTGTCATTTTCTTATTTGACAATCTAAGACAAAAGAGGTCAGTGCCCCTGACTAATGAGTCAGGTATTGTGTGTTTTAAAAATTGTTGTGGCACATCGATTGAAAATTGCTGTGTTCTAGTAATGATTTTATAAATGATTAAAACCCCTTGCTTTATAGAATATCTTCTGTTTTAAAAAATCTCCTGGAAAGGTTTTCCTAATGTTGGCTATTAGGAAAATGGATTAACTCTCACTAGTAACTAAGAAGAGCAGAAACAAGGGTTTCTGGTGGGATAGTAAGAGTTTGGAATAAAAAAGGGATAGTTTTGAACCTAAATTATTTTGACCAGAATGAAAGGATATGGTAATCCTGCTAGTCAGCCTTGCTGAGGGTGAGGAGTCATTCCACAGTAAGATCTGCCTCTTTCCTTGCAGGTGGTGCGCACAGCCCCTGAGCCGCGAGTGATTGAGTAAGTAATTTGCTGCCTTCCTCTAGCTCAGCGGTTCTCAACCTGTGGGTCGCGACCTCTTTGGGGGTTGAACGACCCGTTCACAGGGGTCGCCTAAGACCATCGGAAAACACATATATAATTACATATTGTTTTTGTGATTAATCACTATGCTTTAATTATATTCAATTTGTAACAATGAAATTGGGGGTCACCACAACATGAGGAACTGTATTAAAGGGTCGCGGCATTAGGAAGGTTGAGAACCATTGCTCTAGCTGTTGCCCGCACTGAAATGGAGAGCCTAGGATTGTTCCCTCACCCTGGTTTTTCCATCTGGAAGAGAGAACAGCTCAGTTAGTGTCTTAATTTTAGGCTGGGATATTCCTATCTCGGATGTCTTTAAGCTGGGTCTTTTGAGAAGCCTTTCTGGATTTACTGATGGTGTGGAAAGTGCAATAAGATATTCTACGTTAAATTCTGACTGGTGTAGATTTCCTGACCCTACTTCACTAATATGACTGCAGATAGTGAGCTAAAATATCTCCTAGGTTAAGACGGGGTGTGGGGGAGTATTTTTCCTGAGTCATTGGAACATGGCTCTTTGAGAAGCCTTTAGATACCATTTTACTAGCAATGCTTATGAAAGCTGCTAAAAATCTAGATGACCCTACAGTCTATTTCTTAAAACCACATAATTGTTTCAGAGCAAGTAAATGATAGTAAACATTTCATTCCTCTTATATTAATGTGTCGAAAATGTTCTTTTCAAAAATTGTTAAAGATGCTTTGACTCCTCTTTTCCTGCTTTTCAATTTCCATCTGATGTACATAAATTGTCAGTCGAAAGCATCCTTTTATTTTAGCAGGTTAGCATTATGCTTATGTTATTGCTCATGAGCAGTCTGTTAAGCTGTTTGGCTGTTAAAGGTTGACTTATATATCTTAGAAATATTTTAAACTAACACAAATGTCATCACCCTTTCGGAAAAGGTATGTTTTTGTGGGCTTGCCACTAGTTGCTATGTAACTAGTCCTTAGGTAAGTTATTGTCATCTCTCTAGGCTTTAGTCTCCTTGTCTGTAATATTAAGTGTTTTGACTACTTAATCTTGTAAGGCCCAGTCTAGTAGCTCTGACAGTCTTTGATTGTTTTACAAATACCAGTGTGATATTGTCTCCATTCGTGATAAAGAGAATAAATAAAACCATGAAACCTGTTACAAAATGGGCAATTGTGAGTTTGGAAGTCAGGAGCCAAGTGACAGAACTGATTGCTGTTTAACCCTAGGGTTTGTTAATTTTGGTTATCTAAAGTTAGCTGTGCTAGATTTTTTTAATAGCCAGAAGTGTGGCTCACATTTGAAGTGAGCCAGCTTCTAAATGTGGCCCAAAATATATCACATAGCAACATTGTATTCACACTCTGGGAATTCACACACAACACGTTTAGAAATGTGATCAATACTGTATATGTAACAGTAGTTCTGCTACATGTTGGTTCAGAGGAACTCACACATCTACCTAAGAAACTGCTCAGAGATTGTGAACTACTCACTCACATGGCAGAGGGGTGTGTGAAAACTGTTCCTTTACATTATGCTCAGTAACGTACCTCTTTCCAAGAAGGATCTGACACAGTTATCTGGATAGAGGCACCTATCCAGTCGGGAACATTTCTCTTATGTGGACCTCGCCACTCAGCACATATGCAACAGTTTTGTACTGTTGCAAACTTGATTAAATTCACTTAGCTTATATTGCTCAACTACTGTGTGCTAGGTGCTGGGAAACAGAGTAATAACCCATTTCTTGCCTCTCAGTAGCCCACAGTCTAGTAAATGAAATGCACATGTGACCAGGTACATTGTAATCCTGTGTATCATGAAACAGTAGATGTGTATGTAAGGTCTTATGGTAGCACAGAGGACGAGATGTAACATTTGGGTGGATTAACGGTCAGGAAGGTGATGCTGAGCTGAAACGTGGTGGTGTAGTCAGGAGAGTCCAGGCAATAAAGTTGGTGGAGCCAGGTCACAGGGACATTAAATGCAGTATTGACAAGTTGATGGGGAGCCTTGAAGGACTTTAATCAGAGGAGGAACCTCATTAGACATGTATCTGAAAGCAACAGATGCACACAGCCCTTGCTACCTGTTAGATGCATCCCTATTCCAGAGTTTCCAAAGGAGCACTCTATTTGGCACTGTTTCGGCCTAAATTATGGGTGAATAGAAAGGGGTAGGATCAGAGTTTATGTTATTACAGCCTTCATCTCATGGTCTGATCTTGTCAGGATCTGTTCCCAATGCCATTAATGATGTACTGCCATCTCGCCCCTTATCTCAGTGATAGAAGAAGGTGGGGCTGTTCTTGCCCTCATTGTTAAATGACTTTGGTGAGCCAGGACTTTGAGAATCCAAAGGACAGCCTTTCCACTGGGTGGAGGGTATTGTTTTGTTTGATACTAACAAGTCTGTCTTCTTTGTTTCTTTAGCAAAGAGGGTGTATATGAAATTAGCCAGTCACCCACAGGCATATCTCGGTAAGTGACATTAATCAATGCATAAGTGTACTAATTGTCACTATAAAATAATGAGGCATTTAAAGCAAAATATATCAGAATTTACATATCTAAATTAATTGCTTAGAAGTCTCTGTAATTACTCAGTGGCACTGCCATTGTTATAACCCTTTCTGGAGCCTCCCTTTTAAAGCAAGTTTAACAGTCACACAAGGAAACCAGTTGCATTATTTTGGTCACATCTCATTGTTAACCAGGTATAGCTTAAGGTGAGCTTTGACTCTTTCAGAATATCAAATGCATCTTCAAAGAGTAAAAAAGTTCAAGAAAATGTCCCAAGGGCTTTCAGAACACTCCTTAAGAAGGATCTCCAAAATGATTTGAACTAACTTAGCAGTGTTGAAATAAGTGTATATACAGTGAGAGAACCATCATTTGGATATTTTAATTTCAATGTAATCATAAGTTATTGTTTCCCCTACAATTGGCATAGTATCAGAAGAATACCAGTTGTTAAAATGACACAGGGCCAGGCTTACTTTACTTTTCACAGCAACCCTCTGAGGTGGATATGAACTTCATGTTACAGGTTACAAAAACCAAGGTTCAGAGGTTAAATAACTTGTCCAAGGTTTCACAGCTAAGCAGTGCTGGAGCAACATTTGAACCATGTCTATAAGAGCCTTTATGAATCCCTTTATCCTTCATGCTGCTTTTATTTGTCTTAACACAAGTTTATTTTACATCTGAGCATCGTGACCTGGGTGATGTTGGGCTCTGCTTGCTATGGGAGGTGTGATAAGATGATTTCATCTCCCCGTGAAAGGTGGCATCATCCAACTTAGTTCACTTTGCTAACAGAGTCTGCAACCCGTCTTTTTTGTGTTGTTTAGTTACTAATGGTTCTTTCTGCTACAAGGTTGTGTTTGTATCCTGGCTTTGTTGACTTAAGAGAAGCCGACTGGGTATTGGAGCAGCTTTGTCGGGAAGTTCCCTGGAAACAGAGGACCGGCATCAGAGAGGGTAAGTGGATCTCTGAGATCGCAGCTGTTGCCGCCTGCCTCGCTTTCTGGAGTGTTTTCCAACACCGTTGCCTCTTTTCTCCACTGCTATCTTAAATAGAGATTCGAAGCCTACCAGGCCTCAAGGATGCGTAGAAATTAGCCAGTCAGAGAAAGGAACAGGTGGTACTCAGAACATGGCAAGAGAGCGGGGTGGGCAGGAGTTCAAGGAACCAGAGCGTTTGGGTTGGCCGAATTGTGACTGACACGCTCACCTCCTTTTGCGTTTGTTCACTACCTTTATTCCATCACATGGTGCCAGTGTCCCCCTTTCTCCATAGAAACTTCCAGGGCTTTCTATCTTTTTCTGATTCTACTCGGCATACGTTTTTTCACAATCCTTCTTACCGGCTTTTTAGTCTCTTGTTTCACTGGAAGAGTCCCATATCCTGTAGCTTCAGCTGTTCTCTCCTGAGCTTGTCAAGATTACCTGCCTTGGAGCCTGCTCTGTGGTCAGCCACAAGCTACTAGAGCACCTGTAGTACCAGAGCGGGCCACTGAGGGGCATCTGTGCTCTCATACAATTTCTTTCTGGCAAATCAAGTGAATTTAAATTTTCTGTAAAAAAATGGCAAAGTATACTGGCTTCATTTGACTCAAACATCAGAACAACTCAGCTCTCTCCCCTCACTCCCAGCAGTTTCTATAGCAGGGCTTTTGGTGACAGACTTGCCTTTGATTACAGACTTTGTTATTCAAAGTAGTTGTTAATTTTAAGCAAAATACAATAATTTTCTAGTCCTTAGTTTTCAGATCTGTGAAATGGAGCTAATAATAATAATACCTACCTTATAAGGTTTTGTGATAATTAAATGAGATAATGCATGGTAAGTACTTACCAGAATGGCTGGTACATAGTAAGTCTTCAATGAATGTTAGCTGCTTTTACTATTATTGTTCTTATTGTTGTAGTAGTTGATACCAATTGCAGGGGAAAATAGATCTATGAATAACTCCCTTTCTAAATAAATTGGAATAAAAAACTTGTAAAATCAGCTGCATGCTGTGGTTGGTCAGAGTACTTTTTTCTTTGTTCAGAATCAAAGGGGCTTATATGGTGGTGGCACATAGGTAAATGGTCTGTCTTATTTCTTTTAAAAAATATGTATATTTTTATTGATTTGAGAGAGAGAGAGGAAGGGAGAGGGAGAAAGAAACAGCAATCGGTTGCCTCCTAGGGGCACCCATACCGGGGACTGAACCCACAACCTGGGCTTGTGCCCTGACTGGAAATTGAACTGGTGACCTTTTTGGTGCACAGGACAATGCTCAACCAACTGAGCCACCCCAGCCAGGGCCTGTTCTGTTTTTTTGTAGGGATGTTGGTGCCACAAATTCCTACCTACAAGGCTTCAGACTCTGGGTCCTGCTTTTTAGATCCTCCTTGTCTCTTGTTGACTCCTTCATTCTTATTTGTGTCTGACACAACTAAGTCACACGTTCTCACCTCATAGTTTGCTCAGATTGTTTCTGCCAACACCTCTTCTCGTCTTGAAATCGCATATTCTCTATGAAGGTGGAGCCCGGGTCAGAGCCCATCCTTGCTCTGCCTTTGTATTTCTCATAGCTTTTTGCACAGTGTGGTTAGCACTCAGTAGGTACACCTTAAATAGCATTAAACCATTTCAAAGGCCCTGTATTTTCTTTCTCAGATGTAACTTACCAGCAACCAAGACTCACAGCATGGTATGGAGAACTTCCTTACACTTACTCCAGAATCACTATGGAACCAAATCCTCACGTATGTTGGAACATTGCTGTTGTATTTCTTTACATAACTGTAGAGTACTAGAAAAGAACAATAAAACACCTTACAGAGCTGCATGATGGTTCCTAGTTCAAAAACCCTCTGGGTTCAAACACTGAGTCTGTGCGTGCACCGTCATTGGTGAGAAAATGTGGAACTGAAGTAAAATGGGATCAGACTCCCGGATTTCAGGAAAATGAACCACTTCTTCTCCTGTCTCCCCCTTCCCCAAGCCTTTCTGGCTGCAGCCCTCTGTGCATACCCTGGGACACATTTGCTGGCCAACGAGGTCAGAACTTCTCTTCATTTTTCAGACTGTGTTGTCATTTGTGGAAAACATTGGTGTTTTTCTTGTTCACTTTGGATTTCTTCTTAGACCTCAACTTATTGCTTTGGCTTGTTTCTAAAAATTTCCATGACAGACAAAGAGATGCTAGTATATAAATTAAGCTTGTCCAGAGGATGGAGTTGAGATCCAAGAAACAGCTCCTTGTTTAGTCCCTGGAATCTTGCCTTTGGCAGATAATGTTATGCTTATGGAAAGAGACTTTGAAGAAAATGGAGTTTGCTTACGGCATTGGGATAAACAGAAATGTGACATGACACACTTCAGAGCTTCCCATAATTTATAATTATAAACTATCCCTGTGCTAAAATGTTCGTGGGTAAAACATTGGTGTGGGGTCGTGGCTTTTTTACGTAAGGAGAGAGCTCTGTGCTTTGTTTCTGGGCTGCATCTAGAGTGTGATCCAGGGAGGTGTTGAGACCTTATATCTGAGGTTTGTTTGGAAACAAGAGAATGGAACTAGGCCAACCCAACATAGACTGCTGCATGTTCCTGTCCGAATTAATGTACCTTTTTGTCAGCAGTCACAGCAGAGAAGCTGAGGATTCAGCAGGCTGTGGGGGAGAAGCTCCTCATTTATTCTAGTTAATCCTTTAGAACAGGATTCCTCAACCTTAGTATTACTGCTTTGGGCTGGTTAATTCTTCTTTGTTGGGGCTGTGCTGGGCATTGTAGGGTGTTTAGCAGTTAATCTGACTTCTGCTCACTGAATGCCAGAAGCACTCTCACCACATCATGACAACCAAAAGTGACTCCAGACTTGACCAAACATCTGCTGAGGGGCAAAACTGCCCCTGGTTGAGAACCACTGCTTTAGAATAAACATAAGGCACATAAGATCTGCTGAGTAGAGTAGTCTTTTATGCTTGGAGGACATTTTGACAACTCTTAAAGGGTATTTCTTTTAATGGCAATCCTTTTATTATAATGTAAGTAATAAGTATGTATTATTGAAAATTTAGAAACTGCAGATAAACATGAAGAATACCAAAATTTTGGGTAATTCTTCCACCTGATGTTTTGGTTCCAGTCTCTTTATTTCATTTTAGGCAAATATATGAAAAGAATACAATAAATTATGTATACTTAATTTCTTTCTTATAATTTAAATTTTGTTTTTTAGTTACAGTTTACATTCAGTATTACTTATTTTGTATTAGTTTCAGCTATACAGCATTGTGGTCAGTCAGTCATATACTGTACAAGGTTATACCCCAATATTTCAAGCACCCACCAGGCACCATATATAGTTATTACGACACTGTCGACTATATACCCTAAGTTGTACCTTGCATCTCTGGGACTGTTTTGTGACTACAAATTTATAGTTCTTAATCCCTTCACCTTTTTCACTCAGTCCTCCAACCCCTGTCCCTCTGGCAACCATCCATCAGTCTTTTCCCTGTATCTGTGAGTCTGTTTCTATTTTTATTGTTTAGTTTGTTCTTTAGATTCCACATGTAAGTGGAATCATACGGTATTTGTCTTTTTCTGACTGACTTATTTCACTCAGCATAATACCCTCTAGGTCCATTCATTTTATTGCAAATGATAAGATTTTATTCTTTTTTTTTAAATTGATTTTAGAGAGAGAGACAGAGAAACATCGATTTGTTGTTCCACTCATTTATGCATTCATTGTTGCTTTTTTAAAAAAAATATGCTTTTATTGATTTCAGAGAGAGAAAGGGAGAAAGAGAGAAGCATAGATGTGAGAGATAAACATCCATTGGTTGCTTCCTATACACACCCCTACTGGGGATCAAACCCAAAACCTAGGTGTGTGTCCTGACCGGGAATCAAACCCATAACCTTTTTTTTTTAATTGATTAAGGTATTACATATGTGTCCTTATCAAACCCATAACCTTTTGGTGTATGAGACAATGCTCCAACCAACTGAACCACCAGACCAGGGCATTTCTCATATTTTTTAAGGGGGATTCACTAATGTGTATATATGTGTGTATTGGAGATACTTGTTTGATTTTAAAATAATTATCTCAAGCTTAATATCGCGTAACACAGGAGCAGATTCAATCATAGGTTATTAAACTTCTTTTAGTCTTTGCTCAAACTAAATCTCATATGAACCCGATATATGGAAGTAGCAGAGTGCCTTAGCTGCCTGGAGTCCCACCACTTGGCCTCTCCTTTCCCCTGTGGTAATCCCAGAGGCACCTCTGCGGTACCTAGGACTGTACAAAACACTGTTTGAAATCCACTGAATGGGTCCTTTCACTTCTGCGATTCATATTTTCTCAGACTCTTTTCCTCAAATGTCTTTTAAGGATAGCATGGCTTCACTGCACAGTGAGATGACGCTGAATTTTAATTTAGACATTCAGCTCTGAGGGATCTGTATATAGAGTATTGGGTGGAGAGTCTAAATTAATCCTCTAGTTCATTATCCCCCTTTTTCTCCTTTTCTCCTTACTTCACCACCAAAAATAACCAAGAAAAAATACATAGCCACTTAGAAACATAATGCAAACCTGGTGTTATTACAGTGCTCAGTCCTGAAGTGCTAATTGGTTTCTCACATGGCAGAAAAGCTATCTTCCTTCGTTACATTCTGGTTTTTCTTGTTGAGTATAATTCTAGCATCTGATCTTTATCTCCGTGAAGTTAAGCTTAAAGCTATAAAATAAATAGGAAATATGGCTTGCTAACATTGTTATGGAATTTCACTTTGAAAATTATTCTCTTGAATATGGGGTAATTTAATAAGATTTCTGTTTTATTGATCTAAGTTTTGTTCTTATCACTGTTTATCTTTAAAAATCCTCTGTTAGAATGTAATGCTAACATTCATAACAAGGAATCCCAGCTTTTGCTATGGTTTCCCTATCACAGCAAAGCTGAATGATTCCCCCATATGCTTCCCTGGCAGTTTTACCTGACAGTAGCCATGGGATATACATAATAATAATAATAATAATAATATAATAACATTATTATTATGCTTTCCTTTGCTAAACATTCATTCCTTCGCTACCAAACCTCAAACATGGACTTTGAAGGGTTTCTGTAACTTATCAGTTCTTACAGTGCAATCTATGGACCCTGGAGGAGGGCCACGAAATCCTCTTTGGAAATCCACAAGGTCAAACTATTTTTATAGTAATACTAAGTCTGGGTGACATTTTTACTATGTTGAATTTGCACTGATGGTGAATAAAAAAAGTAATGGTGGATATAACTTAGTTTGAACCAGGCATTGTCATCAAACTGTACTAATAACCATTGTATTCACATTTGTGCACTTCCAGTTTTTAAAAAAATGCTGGTTTCCTTTAAGAACATCCCTAGATGAAGCAGTAAACATTAGTTTTATGAAATCTCCCGGGTTCGATTCCGGTCAAGGGCATGTACCTTGGCTGCGGGCACATCCCCAGTAGGAGGTGTGCAGGAGGCAGCTGATCGATGTTTCTCTCTCATCGATGTTTCTAACTCTCTATCCCTCTCCCTTCCTCTCTGTAAAAAATCAATAAAATATATTTTTTAAAAAATGCTGGTTTCCTTTAAGAACATCCCTGGATAAAGCAGTAAACATTGGTTTTATGAAATCTCAATTTTTTTAATAGTTTGAGGAAATGGGAAGTATGTGCAAAGCATCCTGATACAGGCCCAGTATGATGGTTATCAAGAAAAAACATGTGTGTGATTATGTAAGCTGTAAGCTGAACTGGCTACTTTTTTATGGACCATTTTTTCTTTGAAATATCAACTAGCAGACAAACTATAGTTATTCACACTTGAGTATTTGACAGACATATTTTAAAAAATGAACGAAGTGAGTGTCACTTTAGGGAAAACAACAGGATTTATTACTAATGTTAAAGGTTGCGTTTTCAAGCAAAAATTAGCATTTTGGAAAAACTCATAACCGGCACCTTGAGCCTGACCTCTTCTCATTACTTTGCCTTTTCTGATGAGATCCATGGTAAAGTTAATGGATGTGATTTTTTTGATATTATATGATGAAATGTGTCAACAGTTAGAAGATCTGTATAACTCAGTGAACCAATATTTCCTAGATGTTACAGAAGTATACAGGATTAAAAGATCCATTCGAAATGCAGCATGGACCAATGATTTAAATATAACAATATGAAAAGTTTGTTCAAACAGTTTCAGATTCCACATTGCAACTAACCTTTAGAAATCAGGGCTTGTTGAATTTTGGTGTGATATCAAAGACTATCTGTAATTATTTGAAAAGGCAATAAAAGACTCTATTTTCTGACCACATAACTGTGTGAAGGCAATTTTCTTCACATACTTCAGCAAAAACAACATACTGTAACAGATTGAATGCAGAAGCAGATCTGACAGTCAGCTGGCTTCAGTTAAGCCAGACATTAAAGAGACTTGCAAAGCAGTGCTGCTCTTCTCACCCATTGTTTGTATTAGAAAACATAGTTATTTTTCATAAAACATTATTTTGTTAACATATAATGAGTTTGCTATTTTTAAAATATATTTCATTGAAGAGGGTAAGGGAGAGAGATAGAGAGTTAGAAACATCGATGAGAGAGAAACATCGATCAGCTGCCTCCTGCACACCTCCTACTGGGGATGTGCCCACAACCAATTGACCGGAATTGAACCTGGGACTCTTCAGTCCGCAAGCCAATGCTCTATCCACTGAGCCAACCCAGTTACGGCTATAGTGTCTTTAACAGAGTTTGCTATTTTTAAAATGAATTAACCAATAGCTAAATTTTTTTTTCAGCTATAATTTTTAACATGGCAAATCTCATAGCCGTAACCCATATAAACAGAAGGTCTGTGGGGTCCTCAGTAGGTTTTGATAGTGCAACCACTGTCCTAAAAGAAGCTCTGTAAAGCATTGCGTTTTCTTGGAGGAGAGACATAGAATTTTATGTCATAGCAATACAAGCTATGCTGCTTATAGCTCCAAAGTACAACCTAAGGTCAGGGGTCATAGCTTCCTGTAGTGTAGATTGTGATTTCTAAAGTATAAACTACATAATGAACTTGGTGCTCAGGAGGCAGGGCTGTGGATCTGTTGAAATCTTCTCTAGTTCACAGACTGTACACTTACCAAGGCTATGTCATAATTTCATCCTGTAGAAGAGTATTTTCCCCCATTAGGTTGAGTTTCTAGGAAACTAACCACTCTGGAAATATTAAATATTTTTTAAAGCAGTTCTGCCATTCACAATAAAATAGGAATGGGATGAACAGAGGGCCACCCAGCAAGAAAGTTGTTTCGCTCCTCACACTTTAGTCTGTGTTTGCTATCTACCTGGCAGCCCATCAACTGTGGTGCAAACCAGACTCACTGCTCCACTTCCCACCTTATTGACAACCAAAGTGACTGCCTTGAATGGACAGTTCTTCTTTCCGAGGGTCATGTATTTAACATGGAAAGGATGAGATGGGTAGATAGGCCTGGTCCTCATAGAGTTGTTATGCTAAGTTTAGTACCTTAATAAAATTGCAGAGGTTAACTTGCTTCAAAATAGAAATAACGGATGGGAATTAAACACTCTTCCTGCCTTCTGTCTATTTCATTCCAAGTGGTTTGCTTATTCCATGCTCCTGCGTATAAAATGTGACTGATTTTGCATTTTCTTTCTGTTTTTCCATGTGGCTCTCTGCTCCTTTCCTTGGCCTGGTGACTGCAGTGGCACCCTGTGCTGCGCACACTTAAGAACCAAATTGAGGAGAACACGGGCCACACCTTCAACTCCTTGCTCTGCAACCTTTACCGCAACGAGAAGGACAGTGTGGACTGGCACAGCGATGATGAACCCTCACTAGGGAGGTGCCCGGTCATTGCTTCTCTCAGTTTTGGTGCCACGCGCACTTTTGAGATGAGAAAGAAGCCCCCGCCAGTGAGTACTCTTTTTTGTTTTTAAACTTTTATGTTCTTCCTGCCTCCAGTTATTCTGTGAAAAAAAGAGTGCTCCTGTTTTCAGATTTAGAGGATAGAAGTGTGTGATTTGCTAATGAACCATTTTGAACTGATTGCTTACCCCATGGTTAACTTTTGACTTCTGAAGTGCCCATTCGCTCATTTACTTTTCTACCCGCCACTGCCTGCCATGTGCCAGGTGCTGGTAAAGTCCCTTTAGTTGTCTGCCAGGAGCAAGGGGATCTGCACTGTAACTATGGGAACTGATTTGATAAAAACACTGATCTAATAAGTAAGAAAATTTGTCCTTGGTGGAAAGGACAGGCACAGCCCCTGTCCTCCTGGAGACGGGATAGACAGATATTACTAATTACCCCCATAATTGCAATGATGGTAAATGCTATAAAGGAGGACTTATAAAGAGATGGCCCAAGCTAGAGGGGGCGAGAAGGGAAAGGAAAGAGTGTTAAGTATAGAAGCTTAGGACTAAGGTAGATAGAAAGATAGTAGAAACTCTAAGAAAAAAAAATCTCTACCAAATTATCTTATTTCCAGAGTTTGTGTCTTTTTCTAACCAAGGTTCCCGATCATTCCTTTTACAATATTGAACCAGACCCAGGCAGTGTGGAAGGCCTGCGAGGCTGTCTTGAATATGACTTGATCCAGACCTCATAGATACTGTTAATCAAGCAGTGCTTGTGTCTGTCCTTCATCAAACATCTCTGAGAATGCAGTTAATGGACTGGACTGTTTCCTGACATGTGTTTGGGTTTCCCAGCACAGTATTTTGAAGCACAAGGTGTTATTTTACATTTATGCCATTAAGTACCGTTTGTATGTATAATTCCCATTGATTTAGGTTTTCTTTACTTTGTCTACACAGAAACTGATCAATGTTAGCAGGGGATTGTCAGTTGCCATTGAGTTAGTTATTGGGTGAACCTGCTCCCTGAGCACTTTGAGTAGCCTTCACACTCTCATTGGCAGTCGGCCTTCTCTTGTACCAGGGAATACCGTTCGAGAAGCAGACTGCCCGGCCTTTGCCATATTCCTTTTAGGTCTGCTTATGCTTTTCTACACAGGCTTCCACTCAGTTACATCCCAAGTTCACACATGGGAAGAATTCATCCTGCCCTTAGTAAGACTCCTGTTACATGAGTGGCAGAGAAACACCACGTCTCATTTGTTAATTCAGACCCTCTTCTCCGGCCAGTCATATGGAACACCAACCATGTGCTGAGTGTGGTCCTGGGCGCAGGGCTGTAGCTACATAAAAGATGAAGTGATCCTCCCCCTTGGAGGTCATGATCCAGCACATACTAGTGCTGTGCCTTCCCCCCGGGTCATCCCTCCTTCCTTCCAATTGGCAAAAAGCTGTAATATGTCCAACAAAATCTTTACTGTAATCCTAGTGTCTAGTTCTTCACAGTTATTTTCTTTGTTCCCAAGTATTTACGTATTCAGTTACTGTTTCTTACACCCGTACATTTACCATCATCCTCTTTTAAAAACATTTTTGGCCTCTTTATAGATTGAAGTTTAAGAGTTCCCAAAGCATTACTTCTGGATAATTAGTTTTACTGTATAAGCAGTCTCCAGCTACTATTAAGCATTAATAATGTTCTTGTGCCCAGAATATCCCCATTCCTTTTCGCCTCCAGGAAGCTGAAGGTCTTCATTTACTGATATAAAACATTCATGGTGTTCAAGAGCTGTTTCTTGGTAACATACTTCAGTTATGTTATAGGTTAATGCGTGGGTGGGGAATATAACTGTCACATAGCACTGTTTCTCAGGGCAACCGCTTGGAACAAAACGTGTTAAAGAGAGAGACTGCTCATACTGAAGCCCTTTCTCCTCTAGGCATCTTGGAGTCTGTTTGATGAACATGAGGGAAAGTACAGGCCATGAAACACTAACAATGTGGTGAAGTCCCTTTAGTTGTTTGCCAGTAGCAAGGGAATCTGCACTGTAACTATGGTAGCTGAGTTGATAAAAATACAGATCTAATAAGTAAGAACATTTGCCTGAGATCTTGAAATAATGTTGGCAAAGGAAACAGATTTGGGAAGAAATATAAGTGTGTCAGTACCTCAGGTTATTGACTCTAATAACTTTGGCTTCCTCCTACATAGTCTTAGCTATGATTGAACTTGATGCAATTGTATATTCCTTCAATTCTGGCTTTTGTTTAAGATGGGGAAGTTAAATGTTAATATATTTAAATTATGATCATGCATAAGTGAATACTGTTTGTAAATGAATTCCTCCCCCCGCGAACCTGTAGGTCCCATTCTTGGGTAAAGAGGACCCGCATTTAATCTTTTTCAAAAACTCCGGCTAGTTTCTTTACAAATAAAAATCTAGGGCTCTGCAAAGCCAGCAAAACTAGAATTGCAAAAGCCTTTCTTTAGTTGACAGCCTGCAATGCATCTAGAGCACATTGTCTTCATCCTATTAAAATGATAGCTTTCTGAAGGATCGAAAGGAAATGGTTATTGCAAGTCTTTGTCTACTTTCTTTCCACACTCCAGTGATAGCACTGAGAACATGAGAACATGACTCATGACTCATACAACCTCAGGTAAAACAAATTTAAAAGCATAAATTGGGTGAGTCTGCTGTGTGGAGTCTGACTTTCTGTAGCTCTTAGGCACCTGTCTTTGTATGGCACTATAGGTTGTAATTTTCCTGCCTGTCACCAAGACATTCAGAGTGTGCTAGAAGCTGTCAGAGGAATCTCTTTCAAAATCCAGTTTGTTTTAGCCTATCAGAAGGGAAGCTAATAGCTGTTTGACTTGAGTCAGTTTCTCATCTGAAACTGACATAGAAGAATCATGAGATTTCCTGCACTTCATTCACATATGCAATGTTAAGACAGAGAGGCATCTGTTTAAATTATGGAGTACTTTCAAAGAGAAATAGTCTTTCTTTTTTACATTCACACTCCTCCACCCCTGCAGCAGCTGTTTGTTTTGGTCTGGCACCTTAAGCAGATCTCTGTAGCTGCTGATCTTCTGAAAGCTGTCCCAGTTCCTCACATTGTCGTCCTAACAATCTCTCCCTGTGCTGAGATGGTAAGGAGATCTTTGTTTCCTAAGCATCAGTGCCCCTCTGATTCATGCAGTTGGCTCAGTCAGTTTCATGCTTGCATCATCCCTGGGATTACACATTTCTCTCCTCCAAGATGTCCATCCTTTTTCACTGTCCTGCCCATTCATTGTGATTGTAGAGTAGGTTATTGTTTCCTTTAATGATAATAAGGTGCTTGGGGCATAGTAAACTAGCCGGATCTTGCTCTTCCATTCACCCCATCCCTTTTGTTAATTCAGTTAAAGACTGAGTGAATAGCACACTTCTATCTACTTACTTGCCAATGTCAGGATATACCGTCTTAAGACAAAAGTAAACTTTACCAAATATACCTCAGTAGACATTGTTTAGAAACCAAGAACCTTTTTTATTCCAGCAAGCTGAGTTTGTTAAAGCTTTTCTGCACTCCTTGTCCCAAATGCAGTTGTACTTTTCAAACTGCATCGTGTCCCTGTTGTAAAGATTAGTCTGGTCCTTCGCCCAGCTAGCTTTAATTCTATACTGAAAAACAAGCTGGATGGGGAACTACAAAAGCCATTTGGCAGGCTGCTATTTCTCCGTCAGTTACCATGGAAACAGTGATGGCTGAGTTGGGGGTTGTTATTAGGTAATAACAGGAAGTTTGTGATACACTGGAGATTTAGATGCCAAAAGCCATTTTTTTTTTTTTTTTGGTAGCAAATTACTCATGGATAAGTTCTGTCCTTCATCAGCTGGATCCTGAAAAGGTGAGGGGCTTCTTATCTACTACAAGGTGATTGAGTTGAGGCAAATTAGATATTTCTCTTACCACTCCTCCCTCTAGCACCTTCTGAGGGATGTGAACCCTGTGTGTGTCACCAGGAGAGATGGTTGTAAAACCACTTGTAATGGCAGAGGCTCTGAGAGTGCCCAATGGACTGGAGTTCCCAGTGCCTCCCTTGCTAAGAGCAGAGTATAAAAAAGTCAGTTTGATCATAAATACTGACATTTTTCCAGGACTTTAGAAGAAATGATGATGTTGGAATCCAAAATAATATAGTGACCAGCTTCAATTTGAAAACTAGATAAACCGTGTGTAGTATTTCATAGAGTAGTAACAACCTCCCCCTTAGCCAGACCCCCTCATGCTGTTCCAGTTATTCATACTTATTAGTCTGTTCCCTTCTTACAGCATCTGTCCCGAGAAATTACAAGAAATACTTGAAAGAAATCCTTGATTACCATCGTTTTTTTAATACATACCCTAATGACATTTAGAATATCAAGTTTTGTTTCCTATTTCTGAAATGATGTTGGTAAAAAGCACTCATCTGCCTCATTTATACTTACTCCTTTTTTTTTGTAGGTGGATATGGTAATTGGCAGCCACTTGCTAGGAGTAATAGAAAGTTTTCCCAGGAAAGGCACTATGAAAGTTGTTGCAGTAATCAGTGAATTTTTTTAAGCTGTTATAAATGCTAGATGTCATGGTGACTTTGTAGATGTGGGAATTGGAAAAGGAAATGACTAGCAGTGAAGCTGAACTCCAAGATCCCCTGGGCCCGTGAAATGGCATTCACTGAAGGAGTAGAGGGAGGCTCGGGGAGGGTGAAGGGGCCTGTGCATCAGGCATGGTGATTGAGTTTTTGAGCTTCTATCTCTAGGGTCATTTATAAGCGGTTTGGAGAGTGTGAGTGAGTGAGTGGGTAAAGAATGGGTGCATGTGTAAGCAGGTAGTCCTGGGGGGACTTGAATTATCTTCAGACTTGACATCCTTTGGGAGTTGGAATCATCCTTTGCTTCCTTGGGGCTTTATGTCAGGCTAGAATCCAGGCTCTGGTGGCCACTGGGTATGATTAATTTTTGCAAAGAGCCCTCCAGTTTTGTGCTTCCTGTAATAGTACTTTTAGTCTTAGGAGAACAGCC